TTTTGTCTCCCCAAAACCAAATCTGGTGATGAGTACCTTTCACGTCGAATCATAATCGAATAAGTGGAAGTGTGGAAAGTCTAATGTTGCGGGTAGTTTTAATTTCTTTTCCTTTTCTCTATTTTTGAAAACCTATTTTAAGAAAACAGTCAATCCATTTTGGTTTGTTCATAGAGAGGGTCCAATAATGGTGTAGTTGGATGGGGCTTGAAAAGTGCTTTCCAACGATATATTATAAGCCCAATTCCGATGAATAATGAGGAAGTTATGGCCAAATTACTAAACTGGACCCGGTTTGAGCCTTATATGTGGCCCAATGATCTAGAGGAGGGTCTAATATGGATTTATCATTCCTAATGCAATTAGGAATGGTTTTAGTTTTCTAGATTCTTCTAGAAGGTTCTTTTCGTTCCTAATTCAATTAACATTGATAAATTGACTTTTGTTGACTTTTTGGAATTTTAATCAGAATAAAAGAGTGTTTTTGAGGAAAATACGATTTTATCCTCGTATACGGTTAAATTTTATCTGAATTTAGAAAACGCGTAATAAAATTGATTAGCGCCTAACGCCAGACATTAGCGCATGGCGCTAAGCCTGGTGCCTAGCGCTAACGTTAGCGTCTGGCGTTAATGTCAGCGTCTGGCGCTAACTTCGTTTTTTCACGTCGAAACTATGGTTTATTTTTCTATCTTTTTGGTTGATTTTCTCTATAAATAGCCTCCTAAAAACTCCGTTTTGAATCATCTACAATCATCAATTCTCAAGAACTCTCTAATTCTCTTCTCTATCGAAGTTTTCTTTTTCACTTTTCTAAACCAACCCTTTTACATACAAAATTCCGCATTCACAAGATCTAGACACACCTAGCATAACTCGAAGTTGCCTTCGCCCTAGATGTGAATGGTTTTAATTTCTGAGGGTTTGGTCCCAAATCTCTCTTTCAATTATTTAATTTAATTGTTTTATTATTTTCCTTGAAGTTACTAACGCGTGTATTTTGTTATTAGAAAGAGATACGAGGCATCCAAGTAAGTGCTTTAATGGTTTTATTGATATTATGATATAGAAATCATGTCTAGGTTGTTATTATGATTCCTAGCGTCATGTTATGGTATTTTGATCTTCCTAGTATCATGTTTAGGGTAACTTTAATATCAAATATGACAATTTTGATGTTTCCTATATTCTTTCCTAATAGCATGTTAGTATCATGTTAGGGTTAAAGCTTTAATTTTTATTGTTTATTGACATGTTAGGGTTTGTTATTAATCTTGTTAGTATCATGCCTAGGGTCTTGCTATTATTATGCTTTAGCATGATTATGATTAATATGATTATTTTATGATGATTGTTTTTATTGTTATTATCATGTTGCTTGATATTTATTGGTATTGCTTGATCACGCCTTTTATGCATGTTTAAAGGGAATTGGTACTTGTAATCACGCTTAATAAGATAATTAATAATCTTGTTTAGGGTTAATTTGATTATAATTTAAGTGATCGCCAATAATAGATTTATTTGTGAATTAATATTCAACCAACATAGATTAAACATGTTTAGGGTTAATCCTATTGATTGCATGTTATTCAGAAAGTGCACATGAATACGATCAGAATAAAGTAGAGGCCTATTATTAGGGCAGGTTCAATCTCTTTTAGGTTGGATTTGTACCTTCATCCCCGAACTACCAGTCATGGTTCCAGACCTATTGGAGTTGACGGTTTCCCGGATCGTTAAAGAGTGTAACCTTCACCCTGTGAACGGTTTACCAGTTCATAAAACTTGTTGGCGACTCTTTTGCTCTATCTTTTTTCCCTTTGGACGCCACCGTACTTTAGTGTATGATCATAGTGGGGTTCAAGCTAGGGATAATGCTTGAAATATTCCCTACAACTATCAACAATAATAATTAAAATAATACTAATCATAATAATAATAAAAACAATAATAGTACTACTAATAACAATAACCATAATAATAATAACAACAACAACAAAATAAAATATAAAAATAATATTAATCGGAAATCCCAGGCATCTACCCAGAATTTTTTTTTCTTAAAAATAATATTAATCGGAAATCCCAGGCATCTACCCAGAATTTTCAGACACACCTGGGAGGATCCGCCTGAAATTTCCGGATCCTCTTAGGTTTCTTCGGAAATTTTAGGCGGATCCCTTATGTTTTTTTAAAAAAAATTTAGCTGCTCGCCGCCGCCGGCCAAGTTCCTTCCTCCGTAAGTCTCCTATATGCGCCGCGAATCAGCCATTCCTTTGTGTAGGTAGTTGTTGATGAAGGTTGATATTTTTTTTTTTAAATTTTTTTTTTTTGCAGATTTTGATTTTTAAAATTTTTAGAGAGTTAGAGAGATAAAATGAGAGTGAATGAGGTTAGAGAGTTAAAATGTGAATTATTATGTGAAAATTCCATATTTATATGTTAGGGGTAAAAATGAAATTCTATTAAAAAAATGCGAGCTTTTTCTTGTAAAATGGGAGCGACGTTTAAGAACACTCTTGTCTACATTTCCTAAACAATTTACAAATCTAATATATATATATATATATATATATATATATATATATATATAGGAAGAGGATCATGTGAAAACAAGATTAAATCTGAAAACTGAAAATGGACAATCTCCACCGTCCATAGAAATCAACGGTTGAGATTAGAGGAAAAAAAGTTATGTCGACATTCTATCTCCTTCTCAGGTCCTTTTTCTCTCTCCTCTCTCTAAGTTCTTCTCATTCTCTTTCTAAAGAATTCACAATTTCTGGCTGAATTTCCAACAGGTTCGAGCTCTGATCTCCGGTCTTCCTCTAGTTTGATATCATCTTCATCTTCTTACTCTATCAATTTTAAAATCAAAATTTCGCTTTTTCAATTCTAATCTTGATTAGAATATAAATTTGGAAATTCTTTATCGAATGAGCAGACGAGTCGAAATTCGAACAATGCGAATGTTTATCGAGGCTTAATGAGCGATAATTCTCACATATTTCTCTCGCACTCGCTCTCGAAACGATCCTTGATGAGAGAAAATGCTGCTAAAGCCTTTGTTCGAGGTCAGTCTATCAATTGCCTGCTAAGTGTTTGTTAAAATGTCAATGAGAATTTCTTGCGATTTTCGCCTAAACTTTACTAACATTGTTCATAAACCTGCAAAAATCAAGTCAAATCAAACAATTGAAGTTGACATTTCATCAATGAAACCCTAGATTTTCGCAACAAATCAAAGTAAAATCCGAATGAAACGAAGCGACGAACAATCGAATCTTACTAAACTTGGTTACGAAATGGAAAGGTAAGTACTTCGTTTTTGATTTTTGAGTTCTTCGTTTATGATTTTTGTTTGATTTATTAATTTTGCTCTTTTTTTGGAAATTATTGATTTGATTTGTATTTTTGAGTTTCGACTTTAGTTTCATTATCGACTAGGATAATTTGTTTCCAGAAAACGAATTTCATTTCTTATTATTTTTTGTTTCGTTTTGTTAAATCTTAGTTCGTCGATCGATTAGCTGTTTCATGGCTATCGAAGTGATTTAGGTACTAAGTTTTCGTGTCATGTAATTGATACATTTTGATAAACATGAATTTTGGTGTAATGTTACTCTGAGTTTTTTCTACCTATTATCATTAATCTCCTTAGGTTTATTATCTTTCTGCTTCATTGATTTCAATATAATATTGTTTGCATTTCAATAATATGATTGTTGGATCTATGTTGTCAGAGTATAAATGCGGAAGTAATTGAAGATTAAGAACGAATTTTAATTTTGGATGCTTATTGTATAAAGATAAATGCATAGCTGTAGGACTTGCTGGAATAATTAGGATAGTAATTTTTGCAAATACAATGAAGAAACTGTGTTACTTGTTTGGAATATTTTGACACCTTGATCTGAAACTGTTGACTAATTATCATGGTTTATTTGATGATGGATGAAATGAGTTGTGGCAACATTTTGCGATTTCCTGTTACTTGTGGCAACATAAGTTTGCTACTGGAATTGAGCATTTATTATTGAATTGGCTCTGTTGTGAAGATTGTGTAACAATGTGAGATGGTTGTTGTTTCAGACAATTGAGAAATAGAGATGCCGCGATGAGATCAAGAGAAAGGAAGAAGATGTATGTCAAGGATTTGGAGATAAAGAGTCGGTATATGGAAGCGAAGTGTAGGAGATTGGGGAGTGACCTTTGTGTAAATGTGGTCAAAATTGATAGTTACCTTATATTTGTAAATAGTGACTTCTATATACATGCGGTCAATGTTGTCAAAATTGATATAATTACCTTATTTTTATATACAGTGACCTTCGTTATTTTCATATATAGTGACCTCTGTACAAATGTGGTCAAAATTGATATAGTTACCTTATTTTTGTATATAGTGACATTTATGTAAATGTGGTCAAAATTGATATAATTACCCTATTTTTGTATATAGTGACCTCTAAGTAAATATTGTAAAAATTGATATAGTTACCTTATTTCTATATATAGTGACCTTGGTATAAATGTCATCAAAATTAATATAACTTGATATAATTACCTTATTTTTGTATATAGTGATCTCTGGGTTGTTTCACACTATCAGATTATCTAGTGAACATTCAATGGCTAAGATTGCTTGTTTTTAGTTTTCACCATAAGCTCTGTTTTCAGCGGAACCTCCCCGTATATATATATATATATAAAGGGGAGTTTTTTCCCGAGTTTTTAGAGAGTCATGTAGGATCTAATTTTCTCATTGCGCCATGTAGGATTATAAATCTTAATAGTAGCCAATTAAATAAGAGATTATTAATTTCTTTTAGAATTAAATAATTCAAATGCCATGTAAGCAAAATTGGCGAATAAGATTTTTAAGTTTAAATTAATTAAATATTATATATTATCTTTTAATATTAGGAATTATATATAACAAATTTTAAGCTCATAAATACAAAAAAAAAAAAAATATTATTTAAAAAAAATCAAACAAATCGTGCATCGCATGGGTTTAATCCAGTAATTATACGTAATTAACTAATATTTGAGAACGCTTGACTATCGGCGCAATGCGCGCGATAGGACTGCTAGTCATCTAAAAGCTGCCCCTCTCCCTTCTCTTTCTCTCTCCTCTCTTCGGTCTCCTTCCTCTTCTACCCCCTCTCTCTCCTCAAAACACCACCACGCACCACGCCACCGCGCACCGCACTGTTTTACAATCCAGCCATCACATATCACGCTTCGCCACCTCCGAGTCACCATTTAGCCACCGCAGAAGCCAACCGTCGCCCCAAGCAAAACGCACATTAAAAAGTCAAGGTTAGAATATCGATTTTTTTTCCTGATTATAATTAATTTGTTTATCTAATTGTAAATTTAGTTTATATTTCTTGAGATGATTGTATAATTGCGAATTGAGATTGACGGTGCCGGCGCCGCGAGTTGGGCATGTTCCAGAGTTGTGACCGTTGTTTGAACAATGAGAACACCGCCTTGTTATGGCGGAGTAAAATGGATGTTTCAAATTTTTAGAAAAAATGGATTTGCATGTGGGGTTGAAAAAAATTATTAAACGAAATAAATTGGTGATATTGGATTATGATTTATGAATATATAATTGTAAATTTGGGTAAATTGGATTGGATATTGAATTGGGTATATAATTAGATGAGATGTTTTGAATTTTGATTTCATGATTTATAGAAGAAAAGTAAATTTTGAGAACATAGAAGAAGAGTAAATAGAAAATGAGGGTTTATTTTTTATTTATTTTTTAATTTTTTAAAATTTTTTTTTTTTAATTTTTGTGTGTGTTTTTTTGTAGATTATTTATAGGAGTAAGAAAGAAAGAAAATGGGTAATAATCAGTTTTAAATTTTGGACGGTTGTTTTTGGGTTGTGTGGGTGGGTTAAAGGTGGGTTGCGGTGGGGCTGTGGGTGTGGGTGGGTTTTCCTTGGTGGTGTGTGGGTGGGTTAAAGGTGGGTGTTGGACGGTTTTTGACAATATACGGACTATTCTCGGCCATCGTTGATAAGACTTTTTCTTGTAGCGAGGGGATGGATGGAAAACTACTTACTACCCTCTGCAATTGTTATCATTGCCATTGTGAGAATAACATGATATTATAGCGTTAGTCTTATCTGAGAAACATGTTAACAATTTGTAATAACACTATAATTGTGTGAACAGTCCTGAACACTTCACATCAATTGCTTTGTGGTTAATTTAAAATGTTTTCTCACTGTTGTCTTTATTTTAGGTTCTCGTAGGAAGATAGTTTATTTTGGATGGGTGGAGTCTATAAATTTGTAATAACACTATAATTGTGTGAAGACTTCACAACAATTGCTTTGTGGTTAATTTAAAATGTTTTCTCACTCTTGTCTTTATTGGATAATCTTTTAGGTTTTCATCAGGAAGATAATTTATTTTGGATGAGTGGAGTCTATAAATAAAGCAATGAATAACCGCTCAGAGCTTGGTAGACCCACCTCAGGTACTTGTATGTTTTTGCAAATTGCAAATAACTCCTCGTTATGATTTATGAAATCCCCAAACATCTTATCTCCACTTGTTGGGGTTTCTTGCCTCGATTTTTAACACCAACTCCAAGGTTTATGATTAATGATCGCAAGAGACGTCTATGAACCTCTCTACTAGTCTAGATTAATTAGGGTCAACACTTTGTGTTTAGACCTCTTGGAGAATCCTACATTTCTATCAAGAATGCAAATTATACTAGGTCATTTTGTTGTCGTAATTTCAGGAGCTATTGGATGATTGGATTATAAATGTGTTTTTTTTTTAATTTTTTTAATTTAATTTAATTTTAAATAAATTGCAAGAGGGTTGACAAAGCCTGTTTGAAATCTTACCTCATTCCATTTTCAGGTAAAAGAAGGCTTAAGGATCTACTGCTTCAAAAGGATAACCGCTGTTGTGCTGATTGCAGTGCGCCAGATCCTAAATGGGCGTAAGCTGTTCTGTTATGATTCTATCAAATTATTATTTTTAATTATCTACACTCCCTTTGTAGTATTTTTTTTTTTCTTTCAATGCTCATTTTAGTTTCAATTTCATTCTTGTTGGCTATTTAATGCTTTTTTGAGAAGCACCAGTTCTTCAGGAAGAAATTTCCCAATTTAATACTTTTAACTGAAGGCACTCGATCCATTTCATTAATGGAAATTCTGCTGATTTCGATACAATCCTTGTACATCTTTGTCCGCAATTCTTGTGATTGAACCCAAATAGCTTCACGTATATCTCTCCATCTCTCTCCTTACTTTCTTCACTATCAACTTGTTTCTGCTATCATAGAACTCGGTCATGGCCCATATTTCTCCAGCCCATTTTTCACTTAAATGTGTATCCCATTATCCCCTGCTTCTAAAATGTTCAACCCCAGACCTCAGTTATATAATTGTTTGGACTTTGGAGTGAATTGCAATTTACAGTTTTGTTTGCATTCAGATCTGTGCTTCTTAGAATTAAAAACGCAATATCAAGTATAAGGAAGCAAAGATATTATTATGTAATGTGTATACAGTGCATGCTTGTTGTATATGCAACATAAACTCGATGTACCTAGAGTTTTGTGTGTGGGAGTGTGCGTTTGTGTGTTTGTACATATATGTAACTTAGTGAATGGTATGCAAGTGTGCGTACATATATGTAAAATAGTGAATGGTAAGGCAAGAACGGTATGCAAGACTGCAAGTGAACGGTTTACAGCAACTGCAAGGTCTTATGGACTTTAAGTACATAGATTCTCTTTGTGATCCTTCTGTGCTTGTAAAACTGCTAAATTTCTGCTTGTGTTGGGTCCTTTGCAAATACTCAACACACCCTTAGGCTTAAGATATCTGCTTTCCATTCTTTTGTCATTCTTACCCTTTTTTCCAAGAAGCATCCACTAGTACTAGTAGTATAGCAAATAAGGGTAACAGGTGTGGTAATAATGGTTGTTATCACATGTGAACAAGGGTTAGGAGGGGATTTTGTGTGTGAACAGCCAAAAAGGTGAAGAAAACATACCAAGTAAAGAAATGGTGCAATTAATATGCAAACTTTTAAGAAAAGAAAAGAGTACAATTATAAAAAAAAAAAAAAAGAGAGGAAGTAATTGTAATTATAAATGTTCAAAATTGTGCATTAGCACATTTTAAGTGTTGTGAATATTATGAAATGGAGGGAATATATTCTCCTTGGACATAGTGGCTGAGTTTGGTTATAGTGTTTTACTTTTATAATTCTTTCTTTTTAACTCATTTTCTTATATGGTCAGTCAATACTCAATAGTGTTGAATGTATTCTCATTCACACGATCCTTTTGTAACATTTTTGCTTTTATCTAAAATGGTTCTTATTTTAGTGTGACTATTTAATTTAAATATAAAGTTATTTATGAATGTTACATATTAGAATATGCTTGGCACAATGGTGATTGGGATTTACCATATGCATGACTATTACTGAGAAATATATATATTCTTGATTTAATTTTTATAATATTAAACGCATTGTAGTTCTTTTCGACAGCATGTCCACGTATATTAACTTGTTGCAATATCAAGTTGAAGAATTCTGCATTTCTACACTTATAGTAACATATTAGTGATTTGTTTTTATTCTTTTCAGCTTGCTGATTTTATCATAGAATTGATTTTTCTTTTTTTCAGATCTGCAAATATCGGAGTTTTTATATGCTTAAAATGTTGTGGTGTGCATAGAAGCCTTGGAACTCATATATCAAAGGTACTTGCACAAGTACATTGTATTGATCATCTTAGTATGTTAGTAATTTTCCCAATTTAAGCAGTTAGTGGATTTATTTTATACTTTCCCTGTTTTCTTTTATTTGTAACACACCTTCATAGCACACACTTTGAGGAAAAGATTAGGTAATACAAACGGACAAAATCCAATCCTTTTTTTTTAATCTTCTCAATTGTAAATGTTTTTTCTATTACTTCCTCCCATATCAATGGCGGTTTTTCAGGGTGCAACTGTTTTTTATTTGTTTTTATTTCAGGTTTTATCTGTGACATTAGATGAGTGGTGTGATGAAGACATTGATGCGATGGTTGAGGTTGGCGGAAATTCTGCAGCTAATGCAATATATGAGGCTTTTATTCCAGATGGATTCTCAAAACCTGGACCTGATGCAAGTCATGATGATCGTATGAGATTCATCAGGTTTGTCGCCTGAATTCTCTTTCAAATAGCTGTTACCAGATCTAATATGCAGTATTTAGACGAATGTCTCCCCTCTAAATTGCCTATCTCTAACGCTTTATTATGTCTCGCTCTACATATTATCCTTTATGCTCAAGTCGCAATATTTGGAGTAATTCAATACATTTAACATGACTGTATGACACTAACACTTTATGTTTAGCTATTTACTGTAAAGTGGCTGTTGAGGTTCAAATGTTCAATGATTTTTTTCTTATAAATAGGCATAGCATTGGCTTTGGTGGAAACAGAGCACTTTGTATTTATTTATAAACTTTGTCAATTGTCAATGTAGATCTAAGTATGAGCTTCAGGAATTCTTGAAACCTAGCTTGCGAATTCTTTCAATGTCTTCTGCAAAGACCTCGCTTCAGCCAAGCTTTTCCAAGAAGCTAATGAGTAGTTTCCGAAGTTCACAATCATCAAAAGTATCGGAAAGCTATGTAAGTTTGTCCTTTTAGTTTCTTCTATTCGTATTCTTCTTGCAGCTGATCTTGAACTGTAATGTGAAGGGAAAAAAATTTATATATAATGTCCCAAAACAGAAACCAAAGCTATCAATTAGTGTTTCCCATGTTCTGAGGGGCTAGTATGGTAAACTATTTTTGTTAAGCTACTTACTGCCCTCAAGCTCCTTGTATCATTGCAGTTCTCCTGTCTTACTGTATTTTTTGTAAATTTTTCATCTTTTAATACCCATTAAGATGTTTGTAACGAGGATAGTTACTGGACCAACCTAGGTTTAGCTATTGTGCTTGAATGCTCTTATTGAATTCTGAAATAAGAGCATAGGACTAATACTTATCTGATTAATTTCTTTTTAAGTTTATTGGTATTAATTGTCAAATTGATTTTTGATATGATTAAGAAACTTTTGTTATTACGTTGGTTATGTCTATAATGAAAGGATGTCTAACTAGTGCACACTTTTGATTTATGAACTTGTTGAACAGGAAGGAATGGTAGAATTTATTGGAATATTGAAGGTTAAAGTAGTAAAAGGGACAAATTTGGCCGTCAGAGACATGTTATCTAGTGATCCTTATGTTGTCCTTAATCTAGGGCAGCAGGTGAGTTACGCAAACTTAACATTTTGGTAATTATTTCAAGGTGCAGGAATAAAATCTCATTGGATATTGCAGTTGTCAGTTACATACTATTTGGTTACTCCTTTCAGCTTTTTCGTGTTCATAGCAAATGACTATATTACTGTATGGTTATCTATGTTTTCATTGACATGTTGCAACACCCCCCACCCTCATGCCCGCACACATACGCACCGAAATTCTTTTTTTTTAAATATTAAATGTGCCCATATTCCATTTTGAGGTTTTCACACAGTTTTTCTTTTTCTTTTTCCCTTAATAATATAAAATGTACCCGCATGCCATTTTGAGGTTTTATATTTGCTAAAACTCCTTTCACTTACATTATATTCCCCCCCTCCCTCCTACTACAATTAAACCTTTGCACTCCACTCTCTCCAACTTTATCTACTTATTTTATATGAGTTATATACACCAAACAGCACTGAACTTTGGCAAAAGTAAACTTAATTTGTTTCAATTAGAGTACTCCAACGGTCACCGGAGGTAAAGAATCCGATATTAACGACTTGTAACCGGGTGCTTCCTATTGTACCCGGTTTTCATATTTAAAAAAAAATTAAATTAATTGATTTTTATAATGATTAAAAAAAAAGCCCCCTTCCGTTACTCTTTCCTCTCCCCAACTGAACTAGCCCCCACCCGTACCCGTTCCCGTTCGCCGGAGCCATCCCACCCTCTTCCCCGCCGAACAGTCACATCCCCACCCATTTCCCGAATTCTCCTTACCTGCACTTCTCCTCACCATAATTCACCTGCTGCTTCTCCAACCTTAACACACCTCAAACCCTGCAACATCCATGGCTGATTTGCACACTGCTTCTCCAACCTTCACACACCTTATAAATTTTCCCGCATACCTCACAGCAGCCGCACCATGCATCCTCACATATCGATAATATTCCTCTCACCAACAATCGACAATTATACCCTGCCACGACCCCCAAACCGCCGCTACAGCAGCTCCTCTCTATCAGTCCCACCAAAGCACTCAGCAGCCGCCATTTACAGCAATTTATGCCCCAAAGCAGCCCAAAATGCCTTTACTTATCCAATTTGTACCGAATCATCAAATTAACAATTCGGTTTTTCAATTTTTAATCACTCAAATCAAACAAGAAAATGAATTCGTATAATCAAATTAATCGAATTGAAATTGTTAATGGTAGTAGAAAAATCAATTTGCAAATTTGAGGTGGATCGGAGTGGTGGATCGGAGTAAATTGGTTTGAGAGTGTGAAAATCAGAAAATTTTGTTCTTTGGTTGCTGAAGGTTACTAAGTTTAATACTCTACCAGAAGTACTCTAGTTGTAACATTTCAAAGTTCAGTACTCTAATTGAAACTTTGGCCAAAGTTCAGTACTATTTGGTGTATATATGTCACGGTCCGGGAGCTTGGACCCCGAAACGTGCGGTGGCTCTAGCCTTTTGGCGGCAAGAACGCTAGCCTTTAGCGGAATAGGGGCTTGCGAGCACAAAGCAACACAAGCGGGCAATTAAATCAAAGAGCACTCACGCCTATTTGGGCGACGGAGTGCGGGTGGTCGGGGCTTGTGACGGTTGATAATTTAAGGCAGGCACAAGCGGGTCCGAACCACGAGTTCTTAGTGCATCAAGTTGGTTTGGAGGGGAGCTATTATGCAAGTAAGACACAATATCTATAAAGGTCTAACAACAAACAAGCATAAGAGCAAAGCAACACTTAGTAGAAGGCTTAAGATTTCATTAATCATTCACCCCCTAAAGAGCTTTAAATGACATACAAGGAGAATCCCCACTGAACACTGAACACTGATTTGACAGTAACACAATAATGAGACCTCAAGCTAAGAAAGCATAAACTAAATTCTAGGAAAGCACCTAAAGGGAAACTAATACATCAAAAGGAGTTGGATTCTAACATCCTCCCCCACTTAAGTTGTCGACTTACAAGAGTTACAATCAAAATTAGAAGGTCCTAAACTATCTCGAGTTTCTGATGCGCCGTTGATGCGGCTGACTTCTGGAATCTTTGCTGACTCTTGAGCTAGGTCTTCTTTGTTGACGAGGAGCTTGTCTACGGGGTCGCTCGGCTCGAACATCTTGTTGAGAGCTTCATCTCTAAATTTCCTCGTGGGAGTGGGGTCTGTTTAATTCTTGGGGAGAGCTGCTTCCACGATCATCTGTTGGGGAGCTGCTTCCTTGAGAATGTGGTGGAGAGTTTCAAGTTGTGGCTGGTGCCTCTTGGGTGACCATTTTCTTTGTGATCCCTTGCACGTGCCCTGCGTTGTTTGCTCGACCACTGCTTTTCCTCTCTCTTGGGAGGTTCTTCTTTGGTATCTCCGGGCTCGTCGCTCTTTGCTTCGAATCGGGTGTCTGATTCTGTTTTTGGCGGGGGTGCATCTGGGATGTTGCTAATTCGTTGGGCTTCATCTCCTGCTTCTCTGAATCTCTGGGGCGAGCTTGTTTCTTCGATGTTGCCTTCTTCTCTGGCTCCATCACTCGCATTGCCGAAAGGTATCGGACTTCTGGTTCTTTCTCAGGTGCTATCATTCTCATAGCACTCAAGCGTCGTATGGAACCCATCCTGTATGTGGGCTCCTCATCGCCGCTAGTCTCTTTTGTGGCCTCCTGCACGGACATGGATGACAATCTCTTTTGGATCTTGTCAAGCTCTTCTTTATGCTTGCAATCCCACCATTTGTGTGGACCTCGACAAAGTATGCAGTTCATCGCCCTTGTGTTTGCTGAGGATGCGCCGGCCCTTGAGTTTCCAGGTTGGGGGAGGGGGTAGATGTTAATCTTTGTGCATCACCTCCTCCACTTCTTCTATGATAAGTATTGATGGTGTTGGATGATACTCGTGAGCCATTCTCTGTACCCTTTGGAGAGTTTGGAGACGGACTGTTAGAGCGTGTTGACGTCCCACTTGATTCATTCTCGGATTGACGACCCTTTCCGACTGAGTAGTCCATCAATCTCTCAGCACCACACATGGCAGCAGCAAGGGTATCAATATTCTGCCTCAAAATCTCTCGCTGCGCCCATTCCTTTAACCCGTTGACAAAGTTGAACACCCGATCTTTCTCATTCATGTCTGTGATGTCCAACATTATAGCCGAGTATTCCTTAACATAGTCGCGAAGAGAACTCTTCTAGCGGCACTCTTGCAACTTCATCCCAGGGTTACAAGGTTCGCGGTACGTTGGCCCGAACCGCGACCTGGTTCGTTTGTACCGGAACACAGTACAAACGCGACTCAGGTCGCTCTGGAGGTCGCGATTCGAGTCGCTAGAGTCCACGAACCGATTTCATAGCTTTTTAAGGGAAAAAGAAAGGGAAAAAATGGAGAAACCTCCATTAAAATCGATAGAGTTCTTGAAATAGGAGAGAGAAACTAATTGTGCAGGTGAGAGGAGAGAGATAGTGGGTTGGTCCTCAGCTAGTCGCGAGGTTTGGGCGGCTTGATCTTCATCGCACCAACCCTATGTGCGTCTCTGCCCACAGTGTGCATTAAGGTAGCACATTTCTCAAGTGCTTCATCGGCTTGTCCTTTAAACAAATTGTAATTGTTCGCGGAGAGCATCTTTATCTTCCATCAATTTCACAATTTGCTCGGCTTGCTCGCGCACAATGACTTGTAGCTGGGACCATTCGTCCGCTTTCGTCTCGATCCAACCGAGTCTTTCCTCTATGAATTCCATCTTTGTGTAGCCCTCCTTGGTGCCTACACGGGTTGCTTGCGACGAGATTTGGGCGTCGGCTCTGATACCAACTGTCACGGTCCGGGAGCTTGGACCCCGAAACGTGCGGCGCGCTCTAGCCTTTTGGCGGCAAGAACGCTAGCCTTGAGCGGAAGAGGGGCTTGCGAGCACAAAGCAACACAAGCGGGCAATTAAATCAAAGAGCACTCACGCCTATTTGGGCGACGGAGTGCGGGTGGTCGGGGCTTGTGACGGTCGATAATTCAAGGCGGGCACAAGCGGGTCCGAACCACGAGTTCTTAGTGCATCAAGTTGGTTTGGAGGGGAGCTATTATGCAAGTAAGACACAATATCTATAAAGGTCTAACAACAAACAAGCATAAGAGCAAAGCAACATTTGGTAGAAGGCTTAAGATTTCATTAATCATTCACCCCCTAAAGAGCTTTAAATGACATACAAGGAGAATCCCTAGTGAACACTGATTTGACAATAACACAATAATGGAACCTCAAGCTAAGAAAGCATAAACTAAACTCTAGGAAAACACCTAAAGGGAAACTCATACATCAAAAGGAGTTGGATTCTAACAATATAGCTCTATTTCATACACCCAGCCACTTTTTATTTTTTTATTTTATTTTTTAAATTTTTTTTTATTGCATCTGTCTTGCTTTTGATTAATGTTTTGATTGATTGATTGATCTGTCTTGCTTTTTATTCACCTTTTCTTACACCCTTATAACTACTCTAGGAACAAGTTAATGCGTTCATTAAAGCAAGTAGAGGGAAATATATAAATTATGATATTAGTTTTATTCCTCTATATTTTTTACATCAATGATACCCTAAACGTGGTACGTGGCCCGATCCAGTCTTGGAACCTGGTACTTTCACGTACCATTTCCTCGTCAATGGTGGCAAATTATATCGTGGCTCCGACTTTAGGATTATCATCTTTTAGATTTTAGATTACTACAATGATGCTTGTTTATGGTTACATTTTCAGATTATATGTTTAAGATGGTGATCATTAATTGGGGATGGTGAATAGTATTAAAATATGTTTTATTTATTAATATTTGTTTATTTAAATTAAATGTGGGCAACTACCATATGTATCCTTACTCTTTGTTATTGGAAGGTGGACCCTTATTATTCTTTAATTTGCTTAGTAAGTACTCTACTTATTTTCTCTAATTTATTTATTACAATGGTTTACAACTATATGTTATGTAGATATACTAATATATATTGATACTAGGAGTACTTCTTTTTCTCTTGGTTCAAACCTAGCACAAAACTACAATCTTATAGATTAAACCAATGTCTTGGGTACTTTAGAGGCTGTGTTCCAACGTCCAAGTTCCTGTTCCCGTTTCAAGTTCCGAAACGTCTTGTATTTCATGCAACGGTTGTCTACATAAAAAAATCAATATGTGGAGTCTTTTGCCCCTTGTTAAAGCCAAGGATGCACGAATATGCCAACCTCTTGACGTTTTCCGTACTGGGGACGGGTACGGCCCGGATACATCCCCAAGGCGTACCCTTGAAAAGTGGTACGAGAAAAAAAATTTGGGGACGGCTGGGAGCAACTTTAGAGACGTTTCGGGGACGGATTACCTCCTTTTTCGACATCCCCAATAGAAGCCCAACCCAATTTCTTTTAAAAAAAAATTACTTACCCGATTTTGATTTCTCGAAAACCCTAAAATTTGAAGAAGCCACCTACATTTTTTAGCACCTGCAGCGACACCAGTGAAGGTCCCAGGCAGCCATTACTAAACCTTTGAGAGAGGAGAGGAAGAGGAAGGGTTTTTTTTTTTTAAAAAATAAAATAAAATAATATTTAACTTTTTACTCTGTTAATTTTTTTTAATGTTTCAATTGGTATAAAATAATGATATAAAGTACTGTAGCTTATTGTACTAGTAGAAGTACAATATGGAATTGGAAATAGTAAAACATTATCACGTGGAATAGATAAAGTAGCTATAATTGTATTTAAAAAAAAAGATAACTTAGCAATAATCTGTAAGTTTTTTACTCCCTTTTTTTTTTTTTCTTTTTTCTTTTTTCTTTTTTAGTCTTACTTACTCCACATCTATTACTATGACTCATATTCAATAGAATTTAGGATTTTTTTTTCCTTTTTAAAAACATAGTATGGATTATTTTATAAACATCGTATGAATTTTAATATTTCTGTTTTTTTTTTCCATACCCGTTTTTTGGAATTTTCATTTTGCCTTTTTCCGTCCCCATATCCGTACCCGTATTCGTTTTAGTGCAACTTGGGTTAAAGCTAAAAGATTTTAGAGTTAAAATTCTGATTTGGACAATGTAGCTTGGAACATGGGATGTTCCAAAATTTGGTATGAAACAAAAACGGGGAAAACAACTTCTAAAGTACTCAGGAAGTTGGATTATTTTTAATGATTGTTCTTTGTGCTAGACTTCAGGCTTGAACAATGAAAGACTCCTAGTTATTTATTTATACAACTGTAAACCATTTTAATAATCCCTCTGTATTTTATAACTTGCTCCATTTCTCTGAATATGGAGTTTTAGGATGAATAGTAGAAAGTATTATGATGAAAAACAAAATTGAGTATAATTGGGGAGGAGGAGAGAAAATTTGAAAAATATTAAAAAAAAGATGATGAGATCACTAGTGGGAAGGAAAATAGTAAATTATTATTAAAAGTTTACAAAAAAGGAAACATAGCAAGTAATAAAATATGATTGCAAAAGGAAAGTGGGACAAGTAATAAAATATGGAGGGAGTTAATAAATGAAAGAAATTTTTTTGGAAAAAAAAAAAAAAAACACTATAGGAGTAGTTCTTAAAATATACAAGGAAAAGAAGGGTCTACTTTCCAATAAATCAGAGGAAGGATATTTGGGTGGTTGTTTCCATTCAATTTGAATAATCAACTAATCATAAATAATAATAAACATATTTTACTAAATGTAACACTATTCAGCTTCTTCTACCGTAGGCGTAGGTTACCATCACCATGATGATATGGTTTGCCACCTTTGACTATCCAAAATGTGAAACTTTGCGTACCGGTATGGGAAAGTACAGCAGGACAAATGACCCGGAGTGTCGCCACAAACCACGTTCTGGGTATCCCTGGTTGTTGACTATAGTTGACTTTTGTCTTACTGGAGTATCTATGAAGAACCTTTTCTTTCAAATTTGTGGGGTTGACGCATGATTCTGTATGCATTCTGCCTCCCCCCCTCCCTCCTCCCCTCCCCGGTGGGATACCCTAAGGGTTGATGCCTCTAGGCTGATATTTTTGGTGTGTGTCATACTTGGTTTTTCAGTTAGCATAGATTTATATAAACCATCGCTGTATAAACTTTTTTTTTTTTTTTTTTTTTTCCCTCAATGTTCAAATTCTTAATTTACTGTCCCAGGCTGTACAAACATCTGTTGTAAAGAGCAATCTGAATCCAATTTGGAAGGAGGAACTTATGCTTTCTGTACCTCAACGATACGGATCTGTAAAATTGGTAATTTTTCCCTTTATTTTTCTCATGACTCCATCAGGTGCTCTTATTTACTTTGCTATTTGGGCAATGTGCTTTTCCTGCTGGTTGCTTTTATCTATTCAGTGGCACAATTGTGTGAAACTTGCTTTTCATATGGATAACTGTGAAATAAATTCATGATGTTGGTTATTATCTACATTTCAGTGTATATGATTATTATGGATTTAATTTAATTCCTTCAATTTTGTATACACAGTAGTTTCCTAAAAAAATATTGAGCTGAATCAATAGTTCTCAGGTTTAGAAGTGAGACCAACTGCACTGTATTAGCTAAAAACTCTTATTTGCCTTTATTTGATCTTATTATTCTAAATAAATTGATTAAAATTTGTTGATAGCTTAGCTTAATTGTGTTTAGGGGTCAAAAAACAAAGTATTGAGGTCATATTTTAGAAATTTGAACCCTAATTAGTAGGGTTTAGTTTTAACTTGATATTTGGAACCCGTTAAACAGTTAAACCGAATCATAAAATCTTGGAATCGGGCTTGGAACTTTCGGCTACACGATTATATATATAATTGTTAAAATTTTTCGATATATTTGAGAAGGTTTATAAAGCGGGAAGAAAATAAATGTTTTATATTTGTAAGGAAATTTGTGGTAAACCACCGTAAAAAAAGTTTTAAAACCCACTAAATTTTAAATTTTTGTCGTAACTTGTCACCACCAACAGAACAAATGACCACTGAATCGTTAGTAGTCAACATTCATTTTCCTGTAGGTGCTGGTGAATTACAACAAAATATTTTAATTGAGTGGTTTTTTATGACATGTTTTTTAAATGATGGATTTTCACAAAAACAAATTTCCTATATTTAACTGTATGTGTTAATATTTTCTAATAAATATAATTTGATGTTCTATCTAGCATAATTTTTTATGTTTCTTAAAAATTGGATGCATATCGAATTTGAACCTTTTTTTTATTTGCACATGTAGTTCAAAAAATACGTAGTATAAAACATATGCATATAAAGATCTTACTCCCTTCGTTTTTAAATACTTGCTCCATTTTTCCATGCGTGGAGTTTTAGGAGAAATTGGAGAAAGTAATAAAATATGGAGAAAGTGGGGTAGGAGGAAAAATAAAAAATTGTAAAAACCAATAGTAGTTTGAGAGAATTGGAGGAGAGAATGTGAAATTAATAAAATATAATTTATGTTAGGTCCACCATCCACCAGGCGAGAGAAATGACTTAAATATTGTAAAAGCTGTACAAATAAGGAAATGGAGCAAGTACCTAAAAACGGCCGAAAATGAAAAGTGGAGCAAGTATTTAAAAACGGAAGGAGCATATACTAATATACTCCATGTATGAAAATTTTACATACTTTTTTTTTTTATTTATTATTATTTTATTATTTATTTATTTTATTTTATATATTTAAGGTTTCAATAATGCTCTTTCTTAAGCTGAACAGATACATTCAACAACCTTTGTATTTGGAATGCATGTATTACATTAGTATTTTTAGATAATAATATTCAATTGGTTCATAACTTTATTATTTGGAACAATCCGGTTTATTTTTGTTGGAAGCTGGAACCACCAATTTAAGTTCTGGGTACCTAAAGTTTTTGCATGTGGATTTGAATTTATTTTATTTTTCTCTATAAATCAATTTTCCCCTAATCCTATTTGGTTTTCTTATTTGGAATAGAGAATAAATTCTGAAAAGCGATGATTAAAAATTGGAATCTATTAGGGGTGAAAGTTCGGTTTTCGGTTTGGTTTTTTGCACAAATCGAAACCGAACCACCATAATTTGGTTTCATGATTTTGCAAACCACACCGCACCACTTTAGCTTTGAAACCGAACCAAACCAAACCACCTATATTTCGGTTTTCTAAAACAAAAACCAAACCGCAAGCAACATAAACATCAAATTTAGCAAAAAAAACCGAACCAAACCACACCAATCAAGACCGAACCAAACAAAACTGAACCCCTAACCTAGATCCGCACCCACCATAACCCACCGTATTTCACCCTTCCACCATGCCCTAACCCTAGATTGACTCACCACCACAATTCAATCACACCACCATTAAAATAAAGTAGAAAATAAAACTTAAACCAAAGTAAACGAAAGAAAAAAGAGGACATACCTCACGTCCTCACCTTCCACCAAAAGACGTCGATTTTGGATTTTAAAGGTCAAATTTAACCATAAAAACTCTAGATCTAGAGTTTTTAAGGTCGAATTTGACATGAAATCCCTTTAATTGATGGTGTTTGAAATGAAAAACCTTTAGTAGATGCCTTTGATGGAGTTCGAAAACCTCGAAATCGTGGGCTAGAGGGGAAAAGAGGAGATGAGAGTGAAAGTGGAGAAGATGAAGACGAAAGGAGAGAGAGCGAGAAGAGAGAGGGCGGAGAAGATGAGAGAGGGGGCGAAGAAGATGAGAGATGAGAAGATAGCTTAGATTAGGGTCTTTTTTCTTTATATACTTAAGATAAAATATGTTGGGTTTGGATAATTTTTGAGATTGGGCCTAAATTTCGGTTTTTTCGGCTTTTCACTTTCTCAAACCGAAACCGAACTACAACCGAAATATTTATTTTTTCAAAAACGAAATCAAACCACTTTTGAAAAAAACTGAACCATATTTGTTATTCGGTTCGGTTTTAAACCGAGTTTGTTTCACCCCTAGAATCCATGCATATAGGGAAACAATAAATTTTCGAAATTTTACATTAAATAGTCTCATTTTTCAAAATAACAAATACGAAAAGGAAAATGCTATACATAGTCCTTAAGGCTACATAAATTTAGAAAATCATGACTAAAACACACTAATTACACTGATTTACGCGTGTTTTTGTCATGAATTCCTAATTTTATACAATTTTCGTAAGTGTTTTTAATGCTTATATATATAGCTCTAAGGGCTATGTATATCATTATCTATAAGAATCATAAAGGAAAAAAGGGGGACTGTAATAAATGTGATTATTGGGAATAAAAAAATGATGATTAAAAATTGGATTCCATGCAAAGGGAATTTCACTTGGTGGAAGTTTTAAAGTTGTATGGAAAACAGAATAAAGTAAATTTTTTTTTGGCACATTAGCTAAATGGCCTAAATCAATAGATGAAATTGACGGAAATTTTTTATTATATAGGGAAAGATTTCATGTGGAAAGATTTAAATATTCAAATTGGGAAATAGGATTTAAGATAGTATTACCTCTGATTTTTTTTAGTTGCAAGTTTGGGGTATTATTTGAGAGATATAAAATATTTCAAAGTTGCAACTAAAAAAATTGGAGGTAGTAATAAGGATGTGTGATTTTTTTCCCCTTTTCAATATGAAAGGTATTTTGTGATAACATACAATGTTTGTGATACCATATGATAATTATATTGCAGCTGACATGGGCTATGACTGACTCGTGGATTAATAGTACATCAGTACTGCTACTGCCAAAGTGCCAAATAGTTATTGATTTATGTATCTGATGCATTCTATGGTTGGTATTTTCGTTTGTCTTTCACTGCAGAAAGTTTTCGATCATGACACATTCTCAGCTGATGACATCATGGGTGAAGCTGAGATCGATATCCAGCCGTTGATAACCTCGGCGATGGCTTATGGAGACCCAGGAATGTTTGGTAACATGCAGATTGGGAAATGGTTGAAATCACATGATAATGCCCTTGTAGAAGACAGCATTATTAACATTGATGATGGTAAAGTTAAACAGGAGATGCAATTGAAGCTCCAGAACGTCGAATCTGGAGAGCTAGAATTAGAAGTGGAGTGGATGCCTCTTGAGCAATAATCAGTTAATATTAAACCCCAGAATGTAAATGATTGGGGAAAAGAAAAATCACATGAACTTCACAATATTAGATGAAATAACCGCCAATGCCATTGTGAGATTTCAGTTTTCTATCTTCTGTCCTTTGTGTTTAATTTGTTTTTCATCTGTTTCATAATCACTGAAAGTTAGTGTGTACTATTGGTTTTAAAACTACAGCTATTCATTGAGAGAGTTTTACTTAAAATTATTGTATTGATAATTTTTTCTAAGATATTGAAAGTTAATCATGAAATCGGTTGATGTGTTATTATATAGGCCAACATCAGCGTTATACTTCCAAATAGCAATTGACTGGGTTCAAACACGTACGATGTACAAATCTTTATTAATAATTAAATTTAACATCACCTTCCTTCAATTCTAATCATTCTCATCTTATGGATTTTTTTTTATTTTTTTATTTTTTTTTTCAGACAATGAGAATTTCATAAATAAATAAAGGAAAATTACAACCTAAGAGAATTAAATCAAAACTAAAAACAACAAAACCCACTTAGCTAGACCAGTAGAGGAAAATCGAAGCGAATGATTACACCATTGTGCATCATACAAAATACGTCGGAGCTCAGAAAGCCAAAAGGTTTTTACCAAAACCTTTTCTTGGACCAAAAGTTGCCGAATGAACCCAAACCATGGAGAATGTCCGTTAATGCAAGCAAACACTAAAGAAGGGAACCGAAACTTGTCATAATACCTATGCGAAATCTCGGTGGAAGCAGTGTAGTGACAATACACCCGATAGTTGAAAGCACCCTGTTGCCGAAAAGAAAACCCATCACACGACTTCACTCCTAGGGATTGAAAAGCATAGCCACCTCCTAAGAGTCCAGGAGCCAAACCACAAGAGTCGAATTTTTCTACGACTCTACCAAGAGAAGCCTTACACCAAAATGTAGGTTTCTTTTCTGCAATTCTACCTATATAAAATGCAAGAAAATGGAGGACTTTGCTTACCCCAAACATTAAAGATGAAGAGCCTCCTTCAAGATTAAATTTTTAATGATGACTGTCTTTGTCATCATCAACACCAACACCGAAAAATGGGATGATAGTCAGTGAATGAAGACCCAAATCATCCCGCAACCAGAAACAACACAACAAGCAAACAAACCTCTCCCCTCAAACTTACCTTCTCCCTGCAAGAATACTTTCTACTTGTATAAATACCGCTAGCCTCTGGAAAATAGCACAAACACTAAGGACATCGCCCAAACTATCAAAGAGGGAAGCCACACATGCAACATGACAATCCCTTTGATATGTCTGTTTTATATAGTGTTTTACCCCCGTCCCGTGGTCATTATTAGTAGTGTTTTTGGCTCTTTCGGGCCACTTCTATTACTAATATGTGTTTTCTAGTGTTTTCGTAGTTTTGGTTGAGTTTTGCAGGGAATTGCACCTTTGGAGCATTTTCCCGGGATTTTTATGAAGCAACTATGAGCATTGGAAGAACACGACCACTTATGGAGCCCAAGGCCGGTTAGAGCCATCGAGCCGGTGATTAAGGGCTCGGTTATTTGGATCACGAGGCAATTGGACCATGTATTCGAGACCCGAGAGGAAATATGGATTGGCCCGAGAAATCTAGCCCAATCGAAGTCCAAATCCTTGAAGATAAAGACCGGGCCCGATCGGGTAAGCAATCGCCCAATCGGGCGGATGCGCGTGGGAGTGCCATCAAGGAAAGGCGCGCCCGATCGGGTGAGCTGCTAGCTTGATCAGGCGCGGCATCTAAGAAGACATGTGCGACAAAAAGGCGCGCCCGATCGGGCGGCCTCTAGCCCGATCGGGCGCGTGTTTCTGGAGAAGTGTTTTTGACGAGCAATTAGTTTCTAATTAGGAGTTGTTTTTAGTTTTGTTTAAATACGTTTTTGTACGGATTAATAGGGAGACTACTTCTACTTCTTCTTCCTTAGTCTTTCTCTCTCTACTTAGACTTCTCTCTCTAAACTCTCTCTCAAAAACCTTTGTTTTTATTTCTTTGATTAATTCCAGATTATTTTGGTAACGATTTCTCTTCCCTTAATCTTAGTTATTTATTTTATTCCTTTCACCATGACTTATTTTATTGCTTTGATTGGTTTAGTTTTTAATATGTGTGAGTAGTTTAATTTCTAGGGTTTATGGGGATCTAATAAAAAATATGAAGGGGTAAATAATTGTTGTTGATTATCAATGCTAGATTAATTTCCTATTGATTGGTTTAATGCTCTGTGACTAGATTAGGCCTATCTTTTATGCATGAGTTTGACAATATTGATTCAAGAATCGAGAGATGAGAATTAATGTTTAGGTCTAGTTTCAATAGGCAAGTTAATTTATAAATGGTTAAGTCAAGATTCGAGAGATGAGATTTAATACCGATAAATTAATTGTGTGATTGTAGCGAGAGCCCTTTACAATCTGGTTAGTTAATGCATTGATGATTGACTATTATTGATTGTTGGTATTACATGATAATTTCTTATTGAATTGTTTTAATGTTTTACAATTGCGGCTTGTAAAAGTATAGCAATATTAAATTGATGAATCGAGCAGATGTTAATTTGATATTAAAGACTATTTTCAATAAGAACTTAGATCTACTAAATTGCGAGAGCCTGTTAGATCTATGTTGGTTAATAAATTGCGAGAGCCTGTTAATCATGTTATTTATGCAATGTCAATGATTGATTACCCTATTTACCCCGGAGTATTATTTATTGGTGAACCTATGCCCTAGATCCTTTATATATTATTTTCTCCCTATTCCTACTCTTTTTAGTTTAGTTTCATATTCAACTATAAATATTGGTTACTTAAATAGTTTGGACTATAATAATAAATTAAGAGTAAAAAGACTAGTTTCCCTGTGGAGATCGACCCTACTTCCCTATCTACCTTAGTAAGTGATTTAGGTAATTATTTTTTGATTATGGGATACGACTTTACCCTGTCAAAATTTAGCGCCGTTGCCGGGGAAACGGTTTTATTTTTATTTCTGATTGTTTTTGTAGTCTAGATTATTTCTCTTTTGTCTCAGAGAGCGTTAGTTCTCTGAGACAAATCTCATACTTGCTTCTAGTTTTTGTTTATGCCCAGGTGTTCTAGATCAGGTTATATTCCATTCGATCCTGAGATCGAACGTTCCTTCCATAGACAGAAAAACTTCTACAAGCAAATCCTGGCGGATTTTGGTGATACTAACAATAATCATCGTGATCCTCCAACTGATTCTAGCGATTTAGAAGCATCATCAGACACAGAATCAGAGATGGCGGTTCCAAAGAAGCTTAGTGACTATTCACAACCAAAGCTTACGGATTTTCCACATCTCACCCCTACTCCGACTCTTGATGGGGTTCAATTCGAAATCAAACCCCAATTTATAACGATGATAGAGAGGAAACAATTCAGTGGAGCCAAGGGTGAAGACCTGAATCTTCACATTGCCGACTATTGTCAATATTGCAACACCATCAGGCAAGCCGGGGTCACTCAAGACCAAATCAGGGAGATTCTCTTTCCTTTTTCTTTAACTGGAAAAGCTAAATTGTGGTTTAATGGTTTGAGTATAACTACACTTGGTATAACTGACTGGGAAACTCTTATTTTAAATTTTTATAACAAATATTATCCTGCAGAGAGAACAGCAGTACTACGAAGTGCGATTCAGAACTTTGCCCAGGAAGCCGATGAATCTTTATATGAGGCTTGGGAAAGGTTCAAGGACTTACAAAGAGAATTCCCTCACCATAATTTAGCACAATGGCAGTTAATCCAAGCCTTTTATAACGGCATTGGAAATTCTTCTAGAATAATTTTAGACTCTGCAGCTAGTGGGAGATTTATGAATCTTAATGTTGATGATGCAGGTCAGGTTATTGAAGATATGGCGATACACAATTCCCAATATGGGAATCCCAGAGGATTTTCTAATAAAGGGAAACATAGCGTCGACTCTGTATCCTTTTTGCAAGCTCAACTGACCTCTATTTGCCAAAAATTTGATAATCTGAGCACTGCTAATGTAGCTAATGTTTCTGCAATTAATAATAATTCTAATGAGGCTTTCTGTGAAAATTGTGGTATTGTAGGTCATTGGGAGCAGGATTGCAGGAGTTCCGTGGAGCAAGTTAATGCCTTCCAAGCTTATAGGCAGAATAACCCATACTCCAACACTTACAATCCTGGGTATCGAAATCATCCATATCTTTCCTACTGGAGCACCAATGTTCAAAATACACCACCACAAGAACCACAGGTGCCACAGCAACAACAACAGAAGTATTATCACCCAAATGCTAGCCAGAAGAATCAACCACAACAACCCCCCTCATCTTCAGACCCTTCTTTAGGGGAAATTAGAGCAATGTTGGTCAATATGCAAAAGCACATGGAGAGTAGAGATGCGACAATTGATCAAATTTTAGCGCATAATAAAATTGTAGATAATCAAATTGCGCAACTCTCCGCTACTCTACAAGCACGCCAACAGGGAGCCCTGCCGGCACAGCCGACTAGGCCTACGGATCAAGCATTTGCAATTACTCTAAGGAACGGTTCAAACTATGAAGGACCCTCTATGCCCAGAGTTGATGAACCTATTTTATTAAATAATGCTAATCTTGATTCCATTAAACCAAACAATGTAGTTGCTAGCCCTGCAGGGCTAGAGGATAATACTAACATATCTAATTCTACATTGCAGGGTAAAACTCCAGAAAAGGTGGCTACTCCAGACAAAGATAAGAATGCTCAAAAGCCAATTATCAAACTTCCTTTCCCCAATCGTCAATTGAAGACAAACTTGGATAAGCAGTTTGGTAAGTTTCTGGAGGTGGTAACAGATTTAAAGGTAACAGTTCCCTTTACTGAATTTATCACACAAATCCCCTCGTATGCAAAATTTATGAAGGAAATATTGACGAGAAAAAGGTCTATTAGTGAGGTAGAGATAGTAGCTTTCACTGCAGAGTGCAGTGCCGTACTTCAAAATAAGTCTCCACCTAAGTTAAAAGATCCGG